CTTCGTATAACTAGCACTTTGCACAGTGCCTGGCACAGTAACTGCTCAGTAGTCGTTGAATGAACGAAAGGATGTTATAGCTTTAAAACCATTTAAGAACTATGTAAACAGCACCACCTATGGGTGGGTGGTTTTATCACACTGCATTTTAGATTCTGAAACATTTTGCACTAGAAGTTTGGTGACTTAAATTAGGCATCTTCTTCATCCTCTTTTTTTTTTTCTTTTTTTTTTTTCAACTAAAGAGATCGTTTCATTCTTCAGGCCCCAGGGTCATTTGTCCTTTAACACACGTTTTAATAACAAGTGCCGATGTTCTTTGCGTTGTCACAGTTTAGAGGCTGTGAGACGAAGAGCCCAGAAATACACGGAGGTTCTTGTCAGGGAAATCAGGAGGAGACATTAATGGATGGCCATGGGTCGGGCACTTTGTCACATGTTTTAGTTAATCGTGCCAATGCCCCATGCGTCCCTGGTTTTCTTCGCGTCCCGTAGCTGAAGGAAAGTAAGGTGCATTGAGGTGAAGCCGTGAGTCCAGCGGGAACACAGCCGGCTTCGGCATCTGTGCCGCTTCCGCCGGGTCGAGCAAAAGTGTTGGTTGCAAATGTCCGCAAAGCAATACTTTTTGTCCCCAATAAAGCCTTTAGTGACTTCTAAATATTTTTAATAGATGGTTCCCAAATGACCTTATTTCTAGTAAAAAGCTGCTCGTGGTGATTTGTATAAACGGTCATCCCTCGCATAGTAGAATATTTTGACTGCCAGTAGGAATTTTATTTCACTGAATAAAATCCATTCCAAAAGGACTCGTGGAATGTGTGCCGAGAGCTGAGGTTTCGATAGATGGCTGAGTCACAGGGAAACAACACGTTCGACTTTGAAATGGTCTCCTCCTTGATCCACCTGATCAGTCACTTTTAAAAGCAAGTGTCTCTGCTCAGACCACATGAGGCCCCGTCAGTGCGGCTCTAATCCTAGCCACCCAGGGCTCCCTGTTACGAAAGTCACATGTGAGACCTGCAGTGTGTGGGACCGGGCCCCCGAGCCCCCTTTCAGGAACTGGGGTAAATGAGGGGATGGGTAGGAAAGTGCCGAGTGCGGATCCCAGCGCCCGTGCAGGCGGGTGGTGAGCGCTCGGTGACTTGGAGTCTGGACACATTCTCTCTGGACTCTCCTGATAAACTCCAGCCCACAGTGCCGCGAGTGTGAGTTTTACCAGATGGAAAGAGAAGCAGCCGCGCGGGGACGGTGCCTGTGCCCAGAGCCCATGGCGAGCCGTCTCTGGGCCTGGGTGCTATGGGACTTAGATGGCTGAGGCTGCTTTGGGGCGGGAGGTCGGGGGGGTTTCTCCTTGGGCCAGCGGTCTGCCTTTTTCCTGCTGCCTCCAGATCCCGCTACGGGTCTGGTGAAGCTCAAGGCTCTGTGTGTCCCCAGGTCCTGCTTAGTGCTTAGAAGAGTCCTTAGCAGAGTCTCCTGAACCAGCCACTCAACGGAGTGTAAGCCAGGCCCTTCCAGCCAGCCCCCTTCTGGCCAACAAGTAAAAACCGCCCCGGACTGCAGTGCTGGTAATCTTGCAGATTTGGGCCTCAGCCTAGTGTCAGTGGCCAAGCGAGGAGGGTTTGCTGGCCAGAGAGGAAATCCTTTCTCCTCTGGGCTTACTTCTCTCGTGGGCTTCGGGGGAAGGTGGGGGACATCTGTCCTGATGCCATACTGAGATAGGGATGAATGGCATCTCATCCGGCCCCAGTGCTTCTTCACCCTGCCCACACGGGACCACACCCTGGCTGTCGAGGGAGTGTTAAGTCACCCACTTAATTCTTCCATCGAGCTCACCCTGAGGAATGGGTAATCAGACAAATTACATAACTCCTGGAGAGGCCGTCGTCTCCCGTGCCAAGTGAATCCACAGCCCGAGCACGTTTCAGATCGTGCCGGGTGTGAAGGGCCCACCGTCAACTCCCCTGACGACGAGCTCTGGAAGGGACAGGTGTCCGGGACACTGCCCCAGTTAAGTCCCTCGTTTGGCGCCGTTCCCGTCGTCACGTGCCGTGGGTGTGCCCTGCCCTCCGCGGCTGGGCGGACGCGCCGTCCTCTTACAGGTTTGTAGTTACAGGGTTTGCACATGCGAGTGCATTTTCCTTTCCCACATGCTCTTCTGGCCTCTCAGGAAAGATGGGCGTTGGCAGGGACGATGGGTTCTCAAGTAGATATAGTCCGCTTTTCTGTGAAAACTCAGCTTTTTAAAATAACGAAATCCAGCAACGGTGCGTTTTCTAAATACAATAGGCCGAAAACGAGACGCAGGGCTTAGAGCCAGAGTCGAAGAGATGCGAGCACTTGTGTTCCCGCCGCCTCTCAGCCTCTCAGCCACCTCCGGCCGGAGTCGCCAGCCGCGCTTTCTGGTCTTCGAATGGGGGCCTCGTTCTCCCTCGACCCCACGTCAGCGTCAGGCGTCCCCGGCCGCCTGGGTCTGGCGTCCGAGTGCCCCTAGGGGTTTCTCTGACAGGGACGTGACCTGTCGTTGCTCTCTTCATTCCCCGGAAAAGGCCGGGTGGCTTTTTTCCATGTTCACGGCTTTTGCATTTTTCTACTGGGATCAAAGTCACGATGGAAAAAAATAGCTTCCCGTCTTGCGATTCCCTGCTTGGCTCCCTGTCGTTACGACTCTGCGATGTTCGCTTCGCCGTCTTTTGTTAGCTTTCCCTCTTCTGTCCTTCCCCGGCTCGTGAATCTAATAATACAGAACGTTTGGACCGAAGGCTCGCGCTTCCGCTCAGAAAATCACCAGAGTGTCACTGCCCCGCCATCACGGGGACAAGCCGGGTAATCTACAAAATCACGGCTCCTTTAAGACCAGCTAGATCACAGAGTAATGTGACGAACTGAAATCCGAGAGGTGGCACGTTCATCTCAGGAGAGGCGGGCCCTACAGCTGCAGGAAGCAGGGCCTTCGCGCTGGCAGCAGGAGGAGAGCAGCTGAACGCTTACGGGATGATGCCGGGCCGGGTGTGGACTGCGAGGCGGTTCAGAATTCCTGGGGGCCCCAGGCACCAGGGGATCTCCACACACACACACGCACACACGCACGCAGACACCCCTTTCCCGCAGACCTCCAGTGAGCTCGTGACAGAGCCCGGGAGCAGGACAGGAAGCGCTGAGGACACCCGCTCTGAGGCACAGGCGGGCGGGCCTGCTGGTGTCCGAGGACAGAGTGGGAGAACCGAGAGGTCCTCTGTACTGTGCCCAGGTGCCAGGCCATGGCCACCACCCCTGAAGCAGGGACGGGGAAGGCTGGGGCAGGGCCGCTGGGCTGTGGCGCAGTGACGTCAGAGGCCCGGCTGGGGGGACTGAGGATGGCTCCCTCGGCGCTGGCCTCGCCCTGGGTACCACGCAGCCGTGTCTCTGAGGCTGGGAGAGGCGGGGCCGCTGCGGCAGCCCCTCTGCACCCACCCAGACCCACAGGGTCCACTGAAGTCTGCAGAAGGAAGACTGAGGAATCCTTGGGACTCTAGACCCAGCCGTCTGCTCTTACCGGAGTGGGGATAGAGGTTGCAGAGCGGTCCCTCCAGGAAGTGGCCCTGGGCACAGACCCAACACGGGGTCTTGTGGCTGGCCATGGCCTTGGCCTTCGGGAGGAGGGGAAGCTGGGGCAGAGGAGCTGCTGGCACGTGCAAGGGACGGCAGGGACAGGGTGGCTGGACCCAGTGACTGAGAGGAGAGCAAAGGGAGGTGAGGGCGGACATGTGAGGGGCCAGTGAGGTGTCTAGGGACTTGGGCCAACGTCAGATCGGCTTCTCCATGCAAAGGCTGTGCCATGCTGTCACGGTACTGCTTCCAGTGACCAAGGGCGAGAGTCCAGAAAGCTAAGCCCACGACAGCCAACCACCTAAAGCACCTTCGAGCAGAGCGGAGACACTTCTAAAGCATCGGGAAGGACGTCTCCCTGTGGACTGCATAAAACGACCTGGAAATCAAGGAGTTAACAAACATTGCTTATTACATTGTGGGGTTAAGGATGGTGTTTCTCAATGTATGTCTAGTTAGAAATGAAAGAGAAAATTAATATTAGGACTTTATCTGCTCAGATATATTTTTTAAAATACGCACACACACAAAAAAACGTATGAGCCTCGACGGGCTCATGTTGCCCGCGGCTCCCTTAGGCGCAGGTGTCACGTCTCACTCTGTCTTGTTCTGTATCTTGAAGCGGGGTGGGGGGCGGGGGATGTGGGAAGCGGGGGTTCCAGTGAAGATGGCACGGCCGTTGGAGTCTCACAGATGCGAGATCGAGCTCCGGCTCTGCGTTTGAATGGGGTGCACTTCTTGCCCCGCCAGAGCTCCCCCACATTCCTCCACGGTCAGGGGGTGATCATCTGTCCCCACAGGTGGCTGTCACGGGAAGGCTGTGCTCTCCTACACATGGGGACTCCACGCAGGCTTGTCCTGTGGGAAGCCGGCCCCTAGGAATGACCTCGGTCCATCTGTAGCCCGCTTCGGCGGTTGGTTCCCCAGGTGCAGTCATGGGTGGCCTCAGCCTGGCCAGAGTCCACAGTGGGGTCCCCGCATCACCCCCGACGGTCCTTCTCCTGTGCTCTGAAGCCCCCGCTCAGAACACGCGGTCAGGAATTTGCTCGTTTTAAGTTAGTTCTTTAAATGACCTGTCAGAAGCGCATGGGACAGAAAACAAACCTCACACCCGTAGGCAGGGCCCGCTCCCGTCCGGACCAGCCCGATGTCCTCCTCCTCCAAACGCTTGCTCTTGCTCGTGAAAAGCACGGCTCTGCTGGCGGAGCCGGGGTCCCGGCCTCTGCGCCCGGCTTTGGACCTTCCCGGCCACGCTGGCTCCTGCTCGCAGTCACGCGGTTCTGTCTCGCGTCGGTGCCTGTCACTGACGCAGCCACCATGTGACGTGCCGCGGCGGCCAAGGACCGCGGGGCGCGTGGGGGCAGACGAGCCCCCCAAGCCTCGCTCTGAGCCCCGGTTCTCTTTTCTCTCCACAGCAAACCCAAGGAGCCCGTCTTCAGCGCGGGTAAGTCCGGTTTGATTTTCGTGCGGCGCCCCTCACTCAGCTTCTCAGACCTTGAGGCGCGAATGAGAAGTAGCCGTTTCGGGGGCCAGCCGTGGACACACACAGCTTTTTGCACGCAGGGCTGCCCGTCAGCCTGTCCCCGGGGGTGCTCAGGTCATAGAGAGGCGGCCCATAGGACGGTCATAAAAACTAAACCCTTTACTGGCCCCCGTTCAAACTGATCGAAGGTGGCGTCAGTAAGGAGGCCGTGTGAGATGCCACCGCACACGCCGTGGGGATTTCTGAGTTAAAAGACACCCGCTGCCTGTGGCGTCCCTCCCTGACTAACGGGGCTCCCTCCCCTCAGCACCGCGTTTCTCTGGAAAGGAAAGTTTCTGATGCATCAAGTTATAACTTTGTCTAAAAGTAGCTTCCCCCCCCCCCACTTTCTGCCTTTGATTTCCGAAATTGCAAACTAATAGTTCACATATACCTGTCTCTATACCTTTTTAACACGTTTTATCATAAGGTAGATGCTATTTTTAGGATTTAACCTTATTGAAAGGTGCTTTAAAATGCAGAATAATCAACGAGTATGTAATTAGTTAAATCAGTTCATTTAAATTTTCCAGAGTTTTCCTCCAATTCAGAACTGAGACACAAGAGTCAGAATTTCGTGTTTATCAGCACGTGCTCTAGTATTTATTTCCTTCTCGGGAAGCGTGCAGTCACTCACCGACAGCACGGTCGCCACAGGCCCGCAGAGCTAGGTCCTGGGTGCGCTTGTCAGAGTCCCCGAAACGCGTCCAGGTGTGCCTGCCAGGTGGCAGGTGGCGTCTCTGCCCGAGAGCCGGCGAGCTCCTGGACAGGCAGGCAGGCACCTGCAGTGCTACACTGTCTCTTTATCTAGCCCTTCTGTCTCTGTCTCCGAAATCTCAAGGGAAGCGCCGGGTGACACACTGCAAAGGTAGGCAGCACTTCTGAAACCTCATAGCTCTCTGAGCACAGCCGTTACCCAGGCTACAGAAACCTTTTTCATACAGGCAAACGGATTCTCTCCTTGTATGAAAATGTTTTTGTGGTGCAAACCACTTGGGCTTAAATTAAAAGCGTTCCTGAGCATCTTACTTGGATGGGTTTTAAGAAGTAGCCATAATTTGGATCTCGATTGATTATTGGCCAATTACAGGAACTTTGAAAAAAAAAAAAATTCCTGTGGAAACTTTAAGAGAGCTATAGGACAAGCCTTGGATGTCCACTGTTTGAAATGGTGTCCCGCACCGCCGCTGGCCTCTTCCCCAGCTCCTCGGGGTTTGGTGGCTGTGTGCTGCTGTCCTAACATGCCTGAAAAAAAACAAAACAAAACAAAACAAAAAACAAAAAAACACACTGCTTTCCCTTGCTGCGTTTTGACTTTAGATGTAAAATGTCTGAGTTACTAGCACGAAGCGATGCCTGAGCTAAATGCAGCGCTTTCTTTGGCCTAGTCCAGTCGTTCAGATTTGTGCAGTAAGCAAGCCTCAGTCGGAAGGGCTTCATAACCAGCACGTAACTACGATGTGTGCGCGCAGGTACTTCACGTGCGTTGGTTAAACACAGCAATGAAGAGCTTCTCGCGGGTGTTCCAGAAGTGCCACTGGATTCTCTTCACTTCCAATCTGCAAGTTGGGATTCTTCTCCTACAGAGAGAGTTGATGGAATCCTTTGCAGTTGACTTTAAGCACTGTCACACCCGTCCCTCTGTGGGTCTGCTGGGGGCTTCTAAGTTCTTCAGTTGGAGCCACACAGTCTGATGAGCGTAGATTTGGGTGAAGGATTCAGGAAGGGAAGAGCTTTCAGGTGAGGAAGAGAGCCTGAGGAGGGGCCCAGAGCAGGACAGGTGTGGGGGCTGAGGAGGAGACACGTCTGGCCAGGGACGAGAATCCACGCGGGTTGGTTGTGGCAGGCGGTTGACCCCTGGGATCCGGCAGGTAAGGGCAGGCGCAGGATTTTGGGTGGAGACGCAGTGAAATCCAGTTTGGGCCTCAGTGGGTTCGGCAGGAGACTGTAAGGTGATCGAGGGCACCGATAAGAGAGCCTGGGCGGTGGGGCCGCAGGTGGCCTAGTCTCAGTGGGTCCGGAGGGTGGAGCCAGGTGAAAGCATCCCAGCTGGAGGGTCCATAGGACACAGCGCAGCGGCTGGCACACCAAGCAGGAGTGAACGCATACCGGTCCTTACTTAAAAGCCCCACTTCATAGGCAGAGTGCAGAGTGTGTCACACGCATGCCTTCAACACCGGAAGCGCATGCACATAATAACGTAAAACTGGGGCGGCCTCTCGACTTCCAGGCTCTATTGCATGTGGCAATGTTTGAAAATCCTTAGGAATGAGATTTACACAACTAACTGGTAAACGTGGTACCTAACGGTACTGATTTGATTCCATGACGCTTCCTCACCAAGTTCCTCTCCACGGATGATTTTTCCGTCGAGCGAGGTACAGATGTCCCCCGTTCCAGCCGTCCAGTTTAAATGCCATTAAGGCTGGGTCCTCTGATTCCCAACAAAACATCAGAATACTGCCTGTTCTGAATCGGAACCAAATTCATCAAAAAGCTCACAAGACACTTTCTTTGGTCTTATTATATCCTGGAAATGCTGGCCAGGAAAAAAGCCCAACTTGTTTCTTTAAAGTCCAGGAGCTGCCCCACGTCGAATGGGTTTTACTTTTGTCCCCACAATTTATTAAAATGTCGAGAGCTATTTTATTATCGACATGTTTGCTCTAGAAAGTCACTTCCCAGTTTCTCTCTCTAAGGCGTCTTTCCCCTTCCAGCTTTTCCTGGAGCGTTTTCCTTTCTGCATGCATCCTAGCATGTACTCGGGGTCATTGCTCATCGGGGTCATTGACACTTGGAAGAACTGTCCGATGTGAAAGATACATCTTTACATTGCGATATAGCAAACCAACTTAAATATGGAGGGATATTTTATGAATTTCGATATTGAAATTGTAGCTATGTTAAACTCAATACTAATTTTCAGTGAATTTCTAGTGTTAATTGTAATTTGGGGGGTCTTGGCATTCCCCCCCGCCCCCGCTTGATGATAAAGAAAATGAAAGCACTAAAATCTTTCATGGAAAAACGCTGGAATCTAGTTCTTTCCTGCTTTTTTTTTTTTTAATTATTTTCCTATATAGTTCATGTCCTTAAGTAAGCACAATATCAAAAGTAAACCAGATGGAATTAGACATTAATTAGAAATGCGAATAAAGGGTAGCGATTGCATTTTTACAGTGGAAGGCCAGAGAGAGCGTGACACTGGCTTCCAAGGTGCACGGCCCGCGGAGGGGTCTCGCTGACACCTTTGTTCTTTTCGTAGAAGAAGGGTATGTAAAGATGTTTCTCCGTGGGCGTCCGGTCACCATGTACATGCCCAAGGAGCAAGTGGGCGCCTACAGCCTGGAGGCGAAGGCGGAGCTGCCGGCCAGAAGGCTCAAGCTAGAATGGGTGTATCCTTTATGCATTGGTCAGGTCGACGTGGTGTTTATCAGCCAGGCCGTGCGTTTGGCTCAAGAGTAACCATAGAGCTCCATAGCAATTAAGTCCTCTTAAGCTTCCAAAAAGCAAAATAGCTGACTTTCACATAAGAATTTAATTTTTGGCCGTAGGTCAGAACCCAGTACAGTGTACTAGCAAAGGAGTTCCATGAGAGCTGCCGATGGGGGCGGACAGCGACTTATTCCCGAGGGAAGTGTTTGTGGTCCTTGCTCAAATACTTACGTACTATTTTCCTGAAAAGAGATTGAATGTTTTTTGTTTGGGGTTTTTTTTTTTGTCTGGAGAGTCATGGGAAAATGCATCACTAGTTTCTGGTCTGGATTTTAATTTTTTCCAACAGAGTAAAGTTACTTAAAAACTTACAGAAAAGCAAGCTTAGTGAAAATAATCACAAATGGGTAGAGTTTAGGATTCCAATGAAAACAAAAGTGCTGATTATTTTTAGCAGTAGCTAGTTGACTAACATACACTCGGTCAGCTCTTCAGGGGCGTGTGGAAAAGCCAGGAGCCTTACACGTTTACAAGGAAAGCAGCGAAACGCAGGAAAATACCGAATTTACGAATGAGAAAGTGAGACTCTCAGGGACTGAAACTCAGCTGTGCTGGCAAAAAGTTTCTAAACCCAAAGGAAGAAAGAGCCATACCCTGCAAGCACGAAGGCGCATCCCCCCTCAAACCAAGGAGGGACTCGGCCGGCTGTGGGGGCCTGACTGACAGAAGGAGCAGCGTGACAGTATGAGTACCCGAGTACTAAGTTCAGGAGTACGCCGAATAGCAAAAACGAAGTCGACATGGAGCATGGATAGAATCCCACTGAAAATATAATATGAAAACGCTCCTCCTCCCCCCGGATCTGACCACAGAAATCCGAGTCAGCCATGTGCCTAACATTCTTGAAATAAAGCCGCTAGAACCTTCCCAGTGTGAGATTTGGAAAGTGAATGAGCTTCTGAAGGGAGAACGCCGAAAAGGCACGAGGGTAGAGCCTGTGAAAAAGGGCGAATTAAGTGTCGATTTTTCATGATATTTTACTTTATTTTTTACTTTTTGTTCCCTTTTGCCGCTCTCTACTATTTTATTTTACTTTAGAGGAAGCCTGCAGAGGCCACCTTCCAGTCCACGCGGATTTTAAGAAAAAGAGAAAAAAATCTTTTTATCACCCTCAAATCATCATTCACAAGTCCCAGTTTAATGCGAAGCCTTAAACACAAATTATAAGAAGGTCGTTTAAATTTAAGCTGATATCATTTCAGTTAGAAGGATCACTATTGTAGTTGAAATTATGGAATACTGTTCTTTGGGAAATTTTTAGAATTATCATCTGCACCTAGATTTCTCCTCCAAAATACATTTTTTTATTTTTTCGGATTCAGATGTCACAAGCACTTCCCTGCACCTATTTTGGAATCTGTTCTGTCACATGTAGTGGAAATGGTTCAGTTCTTGAAGTCAGTCATCGTTAACCTGATTAAGTCAGATCTGGAACGTATTATTCAAAGCACGTTTGTTCAGCCTACTCTTCATGTTTTAGAAGATACAAAACAGTGGAATTTGCTCCAAATAAATGGTAATTTTTGCCAGGTGATTTTTTTCACATCCAAGTTCACACGATGTTTTGCTCCCACAATAGTTTTCCAGGTTTGGAAGTGTACGCGTGCCAAAATCTTAACAAGCAGTTATCCTAAGGAGCCGGAAGTGGTTGGGGCAAGAAGGACCTAAAGTTTTTACCTTGTCTGTGTGTGTGTGGTGTGTGGTTTGTACCTTTTACAAGTACTTTTATAATATAAAAGATTTAGCTCTGAGGTTACAATAAAAAATATAATTGATGTAACTGAGGTCTATAAACATCAGTTATCAGTATCTTAAAATTCCTTCTTAAAAATGCTAAAACATAAGGAATGTCAAAGCTGAAAGTTTTTTTCTTGGAATAGGATCAGTAACCTCACACTACTTGATATCTGAAGCAATAGTCAATGTTTTCAGATATGTTTTGTTTTCCAAACAAGCTACAAAAGCCACAAATTATAATAGGGATTCGATTATTTTCCCAATTACGATTCTAGAACCAGGCTGAGCCTCTCTCATTAATGCACAGAGCAGTGGCCATCTCAGTTCCCAGTTGTGGATTTGTGTCTCGAGATGACAATAACCGAGGTGAAAGATGACACTAAGGCGGCTTCGTTGCTCCTTCTCATTCTTAGCTCCCAGAATCAAGCCCTCTGCCTGGAAAAGCTCAGAGATT